CCCACTATTGGTGAGTTGTATGCTATCAAATCCAGTGAGCTCCACTCAGAAGACCAGTACTACAGAGTGAAGGTGCTGTCAATCACTGATGACCAGGCCTTGTTGGAATTTGTTGATTATGGTGATACCAGGAAGGCCCCATTATCTGGACTCCAAAGACTACCATCTCGCTTCCTTGAATTGCCAATGCAGGTAATATTAGGAGAAATGCAGGCTATTGTTATATTGGTCATAGTGGATCAGAACCAAATAGTATTACAAGAACAATGTCTACTTGATCATGTTCACTCTTTTTCCCTTTTTTTAGGCCTTTACAATCTCTCTTCATGACATACCAAAGACAAAGAAACCACAAGTTCTTGAYAAATTGAAGCATTATCTATTAGGCAAGGCTTTGGTTGCCGAGGTGTTTCACAGGTCTGCAATGCTCATGCATTCATTATAAATTCAGACTTCATTTATTTTTTATTGCATTTAATTTCATAAAATAACTCAGACCTTGTACACCTTCCCTGATTGTCCCAAAGGCTTTCTGGACATGTACCCATGTTGTTGCAGGRGCGGACCCAAGATTTTRAAATGGGGGTGGCTTTTTGTGATAATGTAATAGAACCAAAGCCTGGTTGAGGTGTTTGATGTCTGTGCATCAGCATGATTGATTCCCAAGGAATAATTAACATTTTCTAATTTAAGACAAACACATATTCCGAGAATATATTTTATTTTAGACTTGTTAAATTCATTTTGTCTCAAAATTAAGAAATTGATTGGTATAACCAGTCATCGCTTATGCACGTATTTTCCACATCCTTCAGAGAAATCGAATGTTATTTCAATATTTGAGGGATACGAAAAAAAAAGAAAGGTTAGTCAGAAGAAGGGGGAGGGGGGTGGGGTGGGGGGGTGAAAATTCAGTCATTTCACGTCCCCTGTATCCGCGCCTGTGTTGTCTAACAACTTGTCCTTTTCCTGTTGTCTAAGTCTCAAATATTGCATGTGTTTTGATCAGAGTCTAAACATAGAACATTTTTTTTTAAACTTCTGATAGAGCTCAAAGTAAGTTGGACGTGGAAATCTTTGATACATCAACGGACCAGGACCTCAACATTAATGATGTGATWAGGTCTCTTATAATACCTGATGAAGACCTTGTACCAGCTTTACCCAAGGTAAACAGTCAACCAACCCATCAATAGTCTCCTTCACGGTTACTTACGCCATGTTGAAAGGTAGCCATGCCTTTACATCGAAGCAAGACAACCGTTGACCGTGCAAAGATAGATACCTGTGAATAATTGTCTGTAGGTGTGAAAAAAGGTTTTTCTATCATTGCACGCTCAATGGCCGTTTCACTTGGATGCAAAGGCACGGCTACCTTTCAAGATGGCGCAGGAAACCGTGAAGAAGACTATTCACATAATACTTAGTCAAGCAAACAATGTAAATTTAGTTAAAACAAACTAA